GTACACTTGCTGGTTATCACCATGTGGTTGGTTAAGGCCTTCAAAATGAATGAGAGCAGTAAGTGAGTTGAAAGACTGGATCCTGGATAACTACAACTTCAGAGGCCAGAGATCTGAGCATAAAACCCAATACCAGAAAAAAGTGGACAGAGTGGTGAGATGACAGAGTCACTGTGGGAGCCAAGACAATAAAAGATGAGCTCAAGAGTGCCAAATAGGGGCCAGCAAAATGGCTCAACTTGCTGATCTTCCACCTCCAAGTGCCAGCATCACATATGAACACTGGTTTGTGCCCTGGCTGTTCCACTTCCCATTCAGCTGGGAAAGCAGTGGAGGATCGTCCGTCCTAGTTCCTGAGACTTTGTACTCATGTGGGATACCTGAAATAAACTCTTGGCACCTGGCTTCGGATAACTGGCCATTGCGGCCATTTGAGAATTGCGCCAGCGGATGGGCAATCTTTTTACTTGTCTCTCCTCTCTGTAAATTTGCATTTCCAATGACAAGAAATACTTTTTAAAAAAAGAGTGTCAAATGAAATCTGCACTTTTATCATTAAATTTAGTGTATGAAAGGGTACAGGTGACACTGGGAGGAGTAAAGTTGGCACTTTGAACTTTGATTACTATTTATAGCCCTTGTTTATACTCTGGAGGAGTAGTTTTCTTGTCCATGCTTTTAATGAATTACTTATTTAGTGGAAGATTAAACTAATGATTATAAAAGAAATTAGAAATGTTATTATAATAATTAAAAGAAAGATAAAAATAAAAGGCAAGGAAGTGGGAATACTCTTAAAAACTATATATATGACATACATTTATATTTTTATACATATACCTTACATAGATTTTTTTTTAAAAAGAAAAAGACACTTATTTATTTTTATTGGTAAGGCAGATCTGATTTATGGAGAGAAAGAGAGACAGAGAGATCTTTCATCTGGTGGTCCATTTCCCAAATGGCTGTAATGGCTGGAGCTGAGCCAGTTTGAAGTTGGGAGCCAGGAGCTTCTTCCAGATCTCCCATATGGGTGCAGGGTCCCAAGGCATTGGACTATCCTCTACTGATTTCCCAGGTCACAAGCAGGGAGCTGGAAGGAAATAGAGCAGCTGGGACATGAACCAATGCCCACTTGCAAGGCAAGGACTTAGGCACTGAGTCATTGCCCTGGGCTCTCTTTCATTTTAGTTTTTACAATTTATTTTTATTTGAAAGGCAGATTTACAGAAAGAAGGAGAGACAGAGAAAGAGAGAGTCTCCATCCATTGCTTCATTCCTCAAATGGCTGCAACAGCTAAAACAGAGTCAATCTGGAGTGAGGAGATTCTTCCAGATCTCCCATGTGAGTGCAGGGTCCCAAGACTTTGGGGCCATCCTCTACTGCTTTTACAGGCCACAAGCAGGGAGCTGGGTGGGAAGTGGAGCAGACAAGGTAAAAATTAGTGCCCATATAGGATATTGGTGTTTGCAAGGTGATGATTTGGCCATTGAACCTTCGCACCAGGTTCACTTACATGGATTTTTAAAAAGTAAAAAAGAAGTTCTTTCAGTAGTGGTAACAAAACTAAGACTTCAATTGAGCTGAAAGAACAGTTGAAGAATGTTACTTAGTGGTTTGGTGGCATAAGATATTCATTTTAAGGACTTTTACCAAAATTATAGAAGAAAAGGGACCAGTGAATATCTGCATGCAAAATTATGAAGTTGGCCCTTCCATGCAATACATAAAAATCGATTAAAAAAGATTTATTTATTCTTATTGGAAAGGCAGATTTTCAGATAGATGGAGAAACAGAGAGAAAGATCTTCCATCTGCTGGTTCACTCCCTAAGCGGCCACAATGGCCAGAGCTTAGTCCATCTAAAGCCATTAGCCACTTCCAGGTTGCTCCCATGTGGGCACAGGGTCTCAAGGCTTTGGGCCATCCTCTATTGCTTTCCTAGGCCACAAGCAGGGAGACGGATGGTAAATGGAGCAGCTGGGACATGAACTGGTGCCCATACGGGATCCTAGTGTTTGCAAGGCAAGGATTTAGCCACTTGGTCACTGTGCCAGGCCCTGAAATCAAGTTCTGATCAAGTACACATTGAAAACGTTAATCTTCATGACATTGGTTAGGTAAACCCTTAGATATGAGACCAAAAGGAAAAGTAGCAAAATAAAAATATATACTGCACTTTATCATAATTAGGCATGTGTATTATTAATGAAGTGAAGCACCCCAAAAAGGGAGAAGATATTTGCAAAGAAATGCTTGAATAGAAGCAATTTCAACCACGATATGCAAATGGTTCTGACAATGCAACAATAAAAAAATTAGTCACTTAAAATTGTACAAAAAATGTGACTAGGTATTTCTCCAAAGTGATACAGAAATGGCCAATTATCAATGTAAAGGATAGTCATTATTATTATTCTTTAGGGAATTCAAAGACACATGAGATCCCTGTAAAGATAGATAACACAGAAGAATAATAACACAAGTATAGCAGGTACTGAGAACAGGTGAAAAACTGTAATCCTTGTACACTGCTGTTGATAAAGTAAAATGGTGCATGCTGCCTTGGAATGAAGAAATTCTCTTCATAAGATGGTATCAAGGAAAATGAAATCATACATCCACACAAAAGCATGGAGAAATGGTCATATCAGAATGATTCGTAATATCAAAATATAGAAATAAGTCATTGCCTGTTAGTGAACGAGACAATAAAATGTATTATATTCATGCAATAGAACATGATTTAGCACTAAGAAGGAATGACTGACTGGTATAAACCACAGCATGGCCTTTAAAAATACAGTAAGTGAAAAGACGGTCATTCTGACCACATTCTGAATCTATTTATATGCAATGTCCACAACAGGCAAACCTATGGCGACATCAAATTTTATCTTATCTGAACTTCCAGTTGCCTAGGCGACTAGGGATGGGTGAGAGACAACCAAGGGTGATTGTTAATGAGTCCTGGCTTTCTCTTTGTGTTAATGAAAATGTCATCTGAGGTGATTATGGTGATTTTTGCACAGCCCTGTGAACACACCTACAAGCATGGAACTGTATACTTCAAATAGCCAAATTGTAACAGTCAATTACATTTCAATAGAGATGTAGTCTTGAAAGATGAAAAAAAAAATACTGTGAGTCTTGAAAGTATGGATTTTAAAAGAAAATAAATGAAAATCATAGAAAAGAAATAATAATAAAAGCACCAGTGGCTTCTAACTCTGTGAAGACCGTTCATGTGTCCTGGCCGCTGCCCCGTGTTGGTGTCACCTCAGGGGAGACCCCCACTACACTTGCCTGGGGCATTTGAGCGTGTGCTAGCCTGCCGACCTGCATCTCTCCCTGCTCTGTTTAGTCTGGTCTTCAGATAGCAGCTAGAGTGTCCCTTTACTTCTTTTAGATTGTCAGAAACTCTATCAAAACACATAAAAATATAATGAAATCTCCCCCACAGCCCAATCATTTTCATTTTTCCTGAGAGTCAAGGTCAAAGGTGTTCTATAAGCTCTGGGTGCCCTCAGTAGGAGCCCTTACTCTATTCAGCGCCCCTCTGGGGCTGTTCCACTGGTTAAATCTGCCCAGAAATTACTCACATGAATATGCACGTGCTCCTCTTTCAACTGTTCGCAGTCTCACCTTTTTGTGATGTCTACAGTAACATTGTTTCATACTTACATTACTTCATACACCTAAACCTATTGAGTTTTTTTTTTTCTGAGTAATGTGTATAAACATCTATACTTTTCCCTGAATAGATTTTATGAGAGAAGGGCTTTTATCTTATATCCATTGCTATGCTATCTGCCATTATTTCAGTGCCTGTATTAAAGCAGAACCTCTTTAAATATTTGTTGAATTAAAACATGGGAAGAAAAGCTGTTACTGCTGCAGAAGGACTACCAAATTCTAATTAAACACGTTTGTTCAACAAAGAGAGGGTGTGTTTGTGCCAGAACATGTTGAGAAAGAATGTAGCCATGTACTGCCTCCCATGTTGTGCATTAGCAGGAAGTTAGAATCAGAAGTGGATGTGGGAATTGGAACAGACACCTGAAACGGGATCTAGATGAGCTAAAATTACCACCAACCAGAGAGCAAAGCCTCCCCCTAACAGTTTATTTTTGATCATGATTCTTCTGTCCAAGCTCTAACCATCAAGATGATCTTGCATATTTCCATTTCCTGGAGATATGTAGAAATATCTCCTCTTCACAGATTTTTATTTTCATTCATGGATTTTTGCTTATTCCCTTTTCTGTGTCTGTTCTCTTAGTTAGGAAGAACTTCAGAAGAGAAGAGAAGAGAAGAGAGCAAGCATGTATGTGTATATTGTCCTGGATACCTCAAGTCCACATCCATAGACTACACACTGACCATGTCACCAAGCTTTCTATGTGAGCTTAATCTCTCTAGTTCGGATTAAAGGAATACATGACAAAGCACAGAAGCACCTGACATGGGCAATGGTGTCCATTGATTACGGAGAAAACGTTGACATTTTCTAAACTCAGTTTTTTTTTGGGGGGGGGGGGGATTATAGTGGTTGTTTTATTAAGGGTCCCAGCATTTTCTTTAGCTGTAGGGTGAAGGTCTGCAATTCAGTTACACCAGATCAATAGTTATATAGCGGCAGTGTTGTTTCATGGGCCCTGAGTTTTACTCTGCAGGCGCACAGCAGCAGGCAAGAAATACCTTCTCTACCTTCCTCCATCACCGCCAAGGCAGGACCTAGTCACGGAAGAGCTCAGCCTGAGGTAACTGGTCTGATTCCCATGAGCCATGAACTTGGACATGAATCTAATACACAATATTTTACTAGTAGGAAAGAATCAATCCTGTTTGTGGTACTTCTGACTTGCCCTTCCCTTCTGCAACAGAACAAGGTTGAATAGCTGTGGTTCCCGAGGACCTGTGGTTCTGTGCGTCACCTCCAGGGGGCGATGCTATACAGACGAGGGGGTCTTCTGCACAAAATGCACTTTCTCACTCAGCTTGCCGAGATCGTGGCAGAGACCAGCAGCGAGAAGCAGAGCTCCCAGAGCATCCAGCCTCGATTTAGGAGCGTTTGCACTTTCACCTAAGCAGAAAGCTTGGCCATCCCGACTCCCCCTGCACCTCCTGACTCCAAGGTCTCTGTTGGCAGCTGCTCTCCCGCTCTCCCGCTCTCCCGCCGCCAGGAACTCTCCCAGCAAAGAAGCTGCAGCGTTTCCAGCCCAGCCATGCTCCTGCTGCTCGCCTCAGTGCTGGGGCTTCACTTGGCCCTGAGTGAGTAAATTCCTCTGGTCTCTGCTGTTGCTGCAGCCTCTGGTTCAGAAATGCTTCCTGTGCTCACGGATGCCTTGCTTTTCCAGGAGACGCTGGAGCCCAGACTGTGACCCAGCCCGACACCCATGTCTCTGTGTCTGAAGGAGACTCTGTGGAGCTGAGGTGCAACTACTCCTATGGGGGAGCTATTTACCTCTTCTGGTATGTCCAGCACCGTGGCCAAGGTCCTCAGCTTCTCCTGAAATACGTTTCAGGGAACACCCTGGTTCAGGGCCTCTACGGTTTTGAGGCTGAATTTAAGAAGAGCGAATCTTCCTTCCACCTGAGGAAGCCCTCTGTGCAGCTGAGTGACGCGGCCCAGTACTGGTGTGCTCTGAGTGCCACAGCGCCTGGGGCTGCAGGGGGAGCAGTGCATAAACCACCCCTGAGTGCAGAGCTCAGAAACTCAGCAGCTCTTCCTGGAGCTCCAACCAGCAAAGGAGAATGAGTGAGAGAGAGAGAGAGAGAGAGAGAGAGAGAGAGAGAGAGAGAGCGAGCGAGCGAGCGCTGGGCTGTCTGACCTGGGTACAGTTCCTGCTGTGCCCTGGGTCTCACAAACTTTGTTTCAGAAGCTTTGGGCACCTTGTAAAAACCCTATACTAGTAGCATCAATGTTGTAAAATGGCGAAGGAGACCGTGGTCTTCCCGTGGGATTGCGCAGGTCCTCAAGGATTTGACTGGGTTGGCCACCTGAAGAGGATGACTGCGAAGTCGGTGCAGGGCCCAGAGAAGCTGGGCGCATCTGCCTCATCTCACGGATCTCAAGGAACTGAGAACACCGCCACTGAACTCAGGCTCTCTCTGCAAGTGCCACCTGCTTGTCCACTTGGTTATTCATAGCCGATTTCCTTGAATTTCGTTTCCTGACTTTGTTGCAGTTAAAGCGTGTCACACTAGTTTGTCAGAATTCAAGTGCTTGTATGAGGAGAGATTTTAACGTTTATTTGGCAATATGAGGAGAGTTGCTAGAATCATGAAGAGCAGGGAAACCTGTTATGGTCCTTTTAGGACTGGCAGTCTTTTAAGAAAAGCACAAGCGAGTGAAGATTTGGAGTTCTTTGTAAAGCGTTTCTCCAAAGACTTTTTCGCAGCCATGAAACTAATATCCTATTCTTTCGATATCTTCAGTTCTCATAACTTATCTCGGGAACTTGTCAAATGATCCCTTTTCCTTTCTTGTAGCTACTGCTTCCTATCTCCATTCCCTTCCATCTTTTCAACTTTTGGAACTTTATTCTTGACTAATTTTAGTGAGAAGGCTAATTTCAGGTTGGTTGCCATCTTTGGCTCTGGGACATTGCCCAGAAGAACTATGGTGTGCGCTTCTTGAAGATGTGTGTAAGGAGAACAGCTGATTTCTACTGATGGACTCAAACTTGCTATCAATAAACAAGTAAGCTCTATACTAAGGATTCCCAAATAAGGAGCATTTCATCCGATCCCAAGTCTACCTAAGAAATCAAAGCAATGTCCTTCCTTCCTTCCTTCCTTCCTTCCTTCCTTCCTTCCTTCCTTCTTTCTCTTTTCCTTCCTTCCTTCCTTCCTTCCTTCCTTCCTTCCTTCCTTCCTTCCTTCCTTCCTTCCTTCCTTCTTACTCTCTCTTTTCCTTCCTTCTTTCCTTCCTTTCTCCCTCCCTTCCTTCCTTCTTTCTTTCCTTTGTTCTTTCCTTTCCTTGCTTATATCATTCCTTCCTTCCTTCCACCATTGCTTTCTTCCTTCCTTTCAAACGTTATTCATATTATTCTTTCAATGATAAATTTTACACAATAAAGCCCTATTTTGTAAAAGTTGAAGTCCTTAATTATTTTCCCCATTAAATTCATATTTATGACTTTCCATAGGAGTTTGACTTGAAATAAAATCAGCCTGACATTACCACATACCCCATCACCCCGATGTAGCCAGCCCAATGGACAGGACAGCTTAATGAAAACTGAATTACAGTGCAAGCCCAAGACAACATCCTTGAAAGGAGGGAGACATGTTTCCCAAAAATCAGAAGGTGATTTGAATCACAGACCATTAAATTTTGATATCTTCCATATAGAATGCATGGGAAAACATTCAAAACAGGTGTTTTTATACCCAATAACTTACCAACAAACTTTAGTATGCCACACTACCACTTTTATACTGTGTTGATTTGGAAATATTAGTTTGAAAGGGAAGCCATTCTTTCACCAGGGACACAGGCATGGTTTCACTTAAAGCACATGTGTCTATCTCTTGGACAATTTGGATTCATTCAGCGGTAAATCCACATGAAAAATAAAGTCAATTAGCTGTGGCTTGACCTGAAGAGGAAATTGACTTATTCCATGCAATGGAAGCAAGAAATATAGTTGGAGCTTTTTAACATTTCCTTGTCCAGAGGTTAAACTTGATGGGTAACTGCAGCAGCCAAAGAAGATAGAACAGTGGAGGTCTCAGATCTTTCTAGAATGAAAGTTTGAGGCACCCAGACTAGTGGAGAATTTGACTGAGGGCATAGGAAATACACAATAGGGACAAAAGGTATATATACGTATGAGTCATAGTGTGAACACTTACAGAAGCACCGTATGCAGATTTTCTGTTTAGTAGAATGTTAATGAAGATATCTCCATAAGTCACTGCAAGTCATCTATACATGATTTATGTGTGGGCTTGACTTGTGGTTGAGAGCTACTTCAAGAACCTGGATATTGTGAAAAGGTGAGGGTTATGTACCAAGTCTGGGTACATGCTTTCTTTTTTCTAGATCTCTCTTCTTATGTAAGTAGAAATCCTAGTAACTTGCCATTTAAAGTTCAAAGTTTAGGTCATTTTGCAGTCTCTGTTCCTTTCAAGCAATAGTTAACTGATTCTAGAAAATAGTTCAAATTCTACTCTCCTTAGCTATTTTCATATTCTTAAGAAAAGCATATTTTTCTTGTTATTTAATGCTGTTAATATTATAAGCTCAGCTTTCTATTTTAGCTTCAAATTTGGTAGTTTCTCCTAACCAAATGCCTGCAATGGTTCCAATAGCTGGGGACTCTATACAGTTTTCCCACATGAGTGATAGAAATACAATCACTGGAGTCATCACTGCTGCTCCCCAGTATCTCCATTGTTAGGAAATTGGAGAAGGGAGCCAGAAGCAGACACCGAGGCAGGACTGCTGAGGTGGGCTGCAGGTGTCTGAACTGGTGGCCCCATCATTATGCCAAATGGCTGGCTCTAGCTTTCCTGCTTGTTTTATTTGATTTATTTCATTAAAAGTGTGCATCAAGATTTTAAATTTTGAGTAATTCAGGTAATCTTTATATATGTTTTGGTTATTCATGTGCTTAGAGATGTGTGATATGTTGATACTGCTTGGCAAGCTTTTGGGTTTTTTGGGGGGGGGTCTTCAATAGCACTTGATGAAAGTTTTTTTTTCTCTCCTCTATTGCTTTAGAAGATAGCAAGTGTATCTCTGCTCTCAAGGCTTGTTTCCTTAAATTACCTACCTACCATTTACCTATTTTACACACACACACATACACTCAGTATTGTCACACACATACACTCAGTATTGTCACACACACACACACACACACACACACACATACATTCTCAGTATTGTCTATGCCCACAGCTCCTGGCTCCCGGCTCCTGGCTCCTGGCTTTGGATTGGCTCAGTCCTGGCCATTGTGGCCATTTGGGGAGTGAAACAGCAAGTGGAAGTTCTTTTTCTACACCAGAATAAACTTAGTTTTTACTTCTGTCTTTCCTTGAGCCTTTGGAAAGAGCCTAGTATTGTTAAGGCTGAGGAAATTATCCACTAAAAGAAAAATGTCACTGAATTTTATGTATTTGTTTTGGCTTAATAAGGAAAATCAAATGATAACCCAAGTTGAAAAATCACAGGTTATTTTAAGGTGTTGGTATCCATGAACATCACTTCAAAAGTAGTAATTGGCTACTTTTCGCCTCCACTCAGTTGAGGCAGTTGTTTTGTTTTCTGACCACCTGCATTTTTTTTTTTTCTTTTAGGAATCACCAAATGAATGAAGCTAAGACTGAAGGGTTAGTCTGTGGTAATAGGTTCTGCCCACTAGGGGGGACTCTAGGTTCCAGCAGAAATGACATTTTGCAGATGTCAGGGCGGAACCATTTGAGCAGACAGCATATAGCACTCAAAGAACAGATGGCAAAGGGGGTGCAGGAAAGGATATGTTTGTGTGCAATTCATCTCAAGTTTCAACTCTGCCCTGTTACACAATAATTCAGAAAGCTGGAGCCCATAGTTTTAGAACTGCATTGTGAGGTTGATTCTCTGAGCCAAGAGAATTTGGATTTTACTGGGCATTGTAAGCATGGAAGCTCGGTAGACAGCATCGTCATCATCTGTTCAAGTTTTACTTTACATTATTAGAAGTTCCCAAACTCACTGTCCTAAAAGATCACTCCAATGTCCCAGATGTTGAATCTTTTAATGTATCCTCATGGAGACCAGAAAGAAAAATATTAAATAGAAGAGAAGAAGAGAGGATAAGGAACAATAACAGAAAGCGAAAGGAATAAGACACTGTTTGATTTGGCGGGCCATGTGTGGCCAGGTCACCATCAGCTATGTGGGTTACAGGGTGAATGTGGAGAGGGTTGCATAAAAGAAGTAGACATTAAATTAAGGCCGTTATCATGCACATATCCATTTTTTAAAATTTACTCTTGTTAAAACCATTTTCTAAGTAGATGGTGAACATTTATCATGAGTTTTTGGAACTCTACTGATTTCAAGAATTTGCATTTGGAGTGGGAATTTGGCCAGGTCAGATGAACTCTGGTGAAGACTTCTGTTACCACACTGGCAAGCCTGGCTTTGATGCCTGGCTCCTAATTCCAGCTTCTTGCCAGTACAAACCTTGGGAGGTGTCATCATGGCTCAGATGATTGTGCCTCTGTCAAACATGTGGGGGTCCTGGACTGCATTCTAAGGTACAGGCTTCAGTCTAGTCCAGACTATTCATGGACTTTGCAGACATTTGGGGAGCGATCCAGTGTACGGGCACTCCCTATGTCCATCAATCTCTTTCTGTCGCTCTGCTACTCAAATAAATAAAAGATTTATTCACTACTTTAGAAAACAAAATAAGCCATTCAGTATTACCAAATGCATGCTATTTTTGTACTATTAAATTCTAGGTCTACATGGTTACTTCCTTTTGTGATAGTTCAAAACTGCTTAAACCTGTCAAGACATTGATTCTTCCCCGTAGTACTTACTGTCCATCTTCTTCACATACTTTCCCATACATTTCTGTTCTGTAAGCTGTTTAAGAGTAAATAGCTTATATCCTGAAACACTGACTGCTGCCCCCTGAACTGTTCACACCTGCAATGTTGGAGCCGATGTTGTGCAGTTTCACTGGGCCCTGGTGGGTGGAGTTTCTTGCTATGATGAATGACAGAGCTCAGATGTGAATGGCTCTCTGTGAATATCTCAGAACCTAGTGACTGTAAGAGCAAACTCTGCGTCCAAGACTTGCTATCCAGTACAGCAACAGTGAGAACTTCCTGACAACCAGGCAAGGAGTCATGGAGAGAAGCCTGGGGACTCTGCTAGGGCTTCTGTTGGCTCAGATTTTCTGTGAGTTTGGACTGCATAAGAGGGAGTTAAGGATATGGGAGGAAGGGTATGGAGAGCTGAACAAAGCTCTGACACTGTCCTACCCTCTCATGGATGTTTCCTGGGGTATTTTACAGGTTTTGAAACTGCATCTTTGATTCACCAGTAAGATCATTTGTGTTTTATTTTTCTTTGCTAGCAGGCATAAGAGGCCTGGAGGTGAAGCAGAGTCCTTCAATGTTGAATGTCCAGGAAGGAGCCAGCCCTACCCTGAACTGCAATTTTTCTACTTCAGTGAGAAGTGTCCAGTGGTTCCAGCAAAATCCCGGGAGCAGCCTTACTAGTCTTCTCATCATAGCTTTAGGGACAAAGGAGAGTGGAAGGTTGACGGCAACCATTAATTCCCAGGAGCGCTACAGCACCCTCCACATTGCAGCCACCCAGATGGCTGACTCAGGCACCTACTTCTGTGCGGCAGAGGCACAGTGCTCCCAGGTCACCTGCTGCCTGCACCCAAACTGCAGCTGAGCTTGTAACCCCACCCCTCTCTTAGAGGTCTGTGGCTTCTGCACAGTATTTGTACAGCTGTGTATTTTCTGATTGATATTGGAGCACTTTTATCCTTACTAAATTAGACATTTCAAGATTCAGTTCACTTGATTTTCATATACTTTTCCTCTTGAAAAATTATTGTACAGGATATAAAAGGCTCTAGTATGGAACCAAGGAGTAACTGATAAAGATGTCAAGATCCTATGTATTGTTATATCAGATGTCCTGGCAGATCATACTTAAGTTACATGCAAATTACTATACTGAGAAGGACTTGGAAAAAAAATACACAGTGACCTAGAAATAGAAAAATCCCAGTTCCTTAGTTAATTGTAGATGGTTCAATTTTCTAGGAAATGAATGTGTGAGATATGTATGTGTACATGCATGGTGCATTAAAAATACTTAATGTTGTTGAATGTCAGTCTTTCTATTTAGTCTGCTACATGCATGAACCAAGGACTGACAGTAGCTCCTCATTTTGCAAATAATTAAATGTGATGTTAGATAGTCTTAGTGAGAGTCTGAGTTCACATGATTATTGATTTAGAGGGTGGTGTAGTATTCCCACGAAGTAAGTCTGACGTCAGAGCATTCACTGAGTTATGTGTTACATAAGACTCCAGAGTCACAACAAGCACATAAGCAGTACTGACTTAATCTACACAAGTGCTTACATACTTCATTGTTAGAACTGTCCTTTTTGGTTTTTGTTTTCTGAATAGCACCTTATAAGGAAGAACTCATTGGACTTCTCATTTTGTTATATTAAAACCCATGGTTGTTTTTTTTTTTTTTTGCATTTTGAATGAATTTGTTACCTATGAGTTTGTAACATCTTTTAAGGTCTGAAAGCCAGATCAGACAGCTTCCACTACTGCTTAAAGGAATCCACACAAATGGAGACTTCTGACAACCCAAACCCAAATTCAAGTATGCAGCAGTTCAGTGACAGCACACAGGATTCCAACCTTGCCAGGTAGTGTACATTAATGCATTAATGGTGACTGGGAAAGAGAAAGACCACGAGAAGTCAGACGAAACCACATGAGCAGACCCCAGCGAGGCAGGGAGCACAGCCAGCCTCTGGGGTTAGACCCATATAGTGGCAAACAGCGGCTTCAGCCTCAGAAGGGAGACAGTTGCTTGTTTAGTGCCCTGCTACTGCTGTCTTGACATTCTTTTTTATTTTAAAAAAATTATTTTCACTAGAAAGACAGATGTACAAAGAAAAGGAGAAACAGGAAGAGAAAGATCTTTCATCCACTGGTTCACTCTCTAAGTGGCTGCAACAGAAGGGACTGAGCTGATCCAAAGCCAGGGGCTTCTTCCAGGTCTCTCATGGGGTGCAGAGTCCCAAGGTGTGGGCTGTCCTCTACTGTTTTTCCAGGCCACAAACAAGGAGCTAGATGGGAAGTGGAGCATCTGGGACATGAACTGGCACCCATATGTGATCCTGGCACATACAAGGTGAGGATTTGAGCCACTAAGCCATCATGCCAGTCCCTGTTTTGATATTTTTAATAGTTTCATCTTTTAACTAACGCTTAAAATTAAGTTCATACTTACATGAAACTGATTTGTAAGAAGAGCTAGATAGCTTTGAAAAACTCTTTTCAGCATATCAAACTTTGATTTAGTCAAATTTATTTCAAGCTTATTTATGAGATATTAATGCAAGTATTATAGTATGTAAAATGTTCTTCAGAGTCCAGTATCAATTACATCAGCAGAAATATTTGTTTCAAATTGGAAATGATGAGAAATTCTGTTTGCAATCTTGAATTTGTCTGGAGCATCTGAAATTGCTTTTAATCACAGTGCTTGGAAATGAAGCTGCTGAAAGTATCAATTTTTATGACATAATGAACTAATTTTCAGAAATGTGAGGTAAAAAATACTACTATTAGGATATATTAATAGATTATTTGTATGTTACATAAATTACGACATGAAACATGCTTTTAACAATTTAGAAATTTATGTTGTTACTTCTATGTCATAAATGTCACTGTGTTTTGTCAGCACTATTTTTAAATAGATTCCCCTTTATTGTCTTATAGCAATTTTTTCCTGCATTTGAACAAAAGATTCCAAATTTTAATTTTGTGCTATCGGAAATAATGTAGCCAGTCATGGCTGGAAATCTTGAACTCCCAAAGCTAAACTTAGAAGGAGAGAGCTAAAAGCCAGAGAACCATCAAGCTGTTTGAGAATGTAAATTTGCTTTACCTATTTGTAAACTCACATCATTTTTTTGGTTCTCCAAGTTGCTGAGTCATTTTCCCCTACAACAAGCCAATGGGATGATATAGATCTCAATACATAAAATACAACTTCAGAAAGATGTATTCTGCTTATCCATGGTTCATACACGGCGTTCAACTCCATATCATTAGCTGTAGGTTTTCTCCATTCCACTTCCCTATAGAATAGGGTTTTCCTGATCTGTTATCCATTATCAATGCTTTAGGAAAAGTGAAAAATCTAGATGTGAACTCATCCCAGGAGTTGTGTCTCCGTTTCTGGAGATCTCCAAGGATTTGTTAGGGATAGTTTCAGATACACTAGTTCAAACATGGACACGGTAATGATTTTGACATTTCATGATGCAGGACAAGTTTTCCCCATTTGCATAATTTCATGTTGCATAAACCAGTTCTCATTAAACATCTATCCTGTTAAATAATTTAAACAAATGTTAGAGATAAATGAACCCTTAGAAATTCTTCGGTTTAAATTAATTTACAGGGGCAGACACTATACCTAAGATGCCAGTTATGAAACCAGAAGTAAATGAACTGGTGGAAAAGAAACTGGATTTACTTGCTTTGTCAGTAGCATTCTTTCCTTTGTCTCATTCCTGAAGTACCATATTTGCTGAATAAGGAGAACCTGTCTGATGGAAGCCAAGTCGCTTTGATCTGCGCTTTGGATCTGGAAAAGCCTCATCAGAACCAGTGTTCTAATTTATACCATTTAACATTTTGAAAAAGAAGTCTGACTCATTGCTATTCTGCTAGTAGTAAATCAGCTCATCAGAGACTTGTAAGAGTGAAGCAAACGTGATGGTGCCACCCTCAACCCTAGGTATTTTACGAGTAATTTTCCTAAAAATGGCAATGTACATTTGTTATTCCAGGTGGACACCCCTTAAAAGAAGAATGAAAACACAATGTATATAATTTAGTATATTATCAGCAAAAATAGTAACTGGGAATGGGAGACTAAGGAGCATGTTGTCCCCACGCAGCTGACAGTCCACGAATGTGCTGGAAAAGTTTTCCCATGCCAATCCTTTGCAATGAGTCAGGTAATATTCAAGGAATTCATTAAAGAGTTGGGGATTCTGTGGTGATACTTGTGGTGTAGTTATTCTATGGAACTGTACTCTGCACGAATGGTCATATTCAGACCATTACATTCAGCTGGTGTTGTCTTAATACAAAAGGGCAAGTGTGTGAAATCTAGTACTAGTCCTAACTGGGAAGAGCAATGAAGACATCTAAGCTTTATTCATGCTCATATGGCTTGGCAGCAACTGAACTGTGTGTGGATGGTTTGGGGGCAACAGGGTGTATTAGTGAATATCCTTTCTAAGTACAGAGAGAAGACTGACTTTCAAAAGTCTGTGGGGAAATAGGAATTAAATATATTTTTGTACAAGAAAAATTAGAAATTAATGTATAGTCTTTTTTGTAATGCCCAATTCACATGTACTTTTTGAATGTTCCCTGGTATTAACCTAAAATATCTCTGTTAAAGAAGAGAGAAATTTGTCTAACGAAGAATTTGAGAATTCAAATGTATAGGTGAGAGAATGGAAGATTCTTACAGCTGACTTTCCTATGTGTAAAGCCACACATTCGCATGCATTTACATAATGAAATGAGATTCTTCGTAACAACTGCGTTTAATCCTTAATGTTGTGAAATATGAATGAGAGGTTACATATTTTCTCACTCTACACAATAATGAGATCAAATTATAGGGCTGGGGCTTCTACTTCAGGAGTGAGACAGTCGCTTTCAGGGACAGGATCTCGTTATTCTCCTGATTCAATCTCCTATTTGTGCTGACCTCATTCAGGTCACAGATTTACTTCTGCAGAGATACCAGGAAGGGTAGTTAACAACGAGATGACTTCAGGGCTTTACAGAATGTACAGACTTTAGTAACAGTTTGGTAAAAGACTATTTCAGTGAGTTCAGGAGAAAACAGGGTGTGCACTCTAGGCCTGCAATGGCCAAAGCACCAGAAATCCACTACAGGCAGATTGTTGGCCCTCTAGAGGGATTCCCACTAAGGTCTTAATCAGCCACTGCCTTTAGGCACATGTCTTTGTAATGTCATCCATTTTGGCATCAGAAAATAAAAGTATCCCAAAAGCAAACACATATGGAATGTCTTTTTTTTCGAATCCCCAACCTGATGATTTTTGAGAATCTCTACCTTTTTGTTCATCATTTGGCAGAACACAAGCTCAACAGCAATTGAAAAGAATTTCTTAAGAGTATGTCAGTTTTCTTATCACAATTGTTCCTTAAGTTTGCCTTGGTAATATCTCCTGGAATGGTCATTTGGGTTTAGTCTTTTGATTTTTATCATGCTCATATTTACTGAAGGAAAATTCCCTATTTTGACTGTTGGTACTATTTCCTGGCACTAGCAAGGGAACGGGGAAGGCCAGGTTGTGGCAGCAGAATCTGAGATACCACACCTTTGAAATGTTGAGTTGTCCTCTTTTATTCTGACCTTTGCTTGCATGCTCTTTTAAGACTTTTTTTCTGTGACAGACAAATTAGGCTTGAAAAAAAAGATACGATTCTTTTTTTCTATGACAGCCATGTTTTCTTCATTTCAAACATGTATGCTCAGTCCATCTTGAAATAAATTTCAATAACATCTACTTATTTCCCGGAAGAGTGTATAAGTATCAATCATTGTCTTAATATAATTACTGTGCATTTAGTCTCTGATTTAAGACCTACTCGCTTAGATGTACTGCTACTTCCCTACTTCCAAATTCGTCTGGATTAAAACATTCACTCAGTGGGTTCAGTAGTGAGAGATGTGACCACAAGATGGCAGTGTGCCTCAGCTGGTGTCGAGTAAGAAGAAAGCAAGGTTTAAGGCAGATGAAACGTTTTTTTCTAATTGGCTGGGTAGACAAACAGGGTAGACGACACACCAGGTTTGTTGGAGAAAAGTCGAGTTGAAGTTAGAAGTAGATCTCCTGAGTGGAGATTACAGGTCTACGATTGATCTTCACTGGAAAGAATAATGAAGATATCCATTGTAATTTTATTCCCGTTCTTGTGGCTGCAGCTGGACTGTGAGTTGAGATTTTAATTAATCAATTAATTGAAAGAATGAAACATCTTGGTGAAAGTTTTTTTTTTTTTTTGGTCAGTCTAGGGAGAAATCTAGCTGTATTCAGATTTCTTCCACTTACTGTTGGAAGGAAAAATTCTGGAGAATCATGATGATTTTTTCTTTCTGCATAGGGATGAGCCGAGGAGAGAACGTGGAGCAGCGTCCTCCTACCCTGAGTGTCCAGGAGGGAGGCAAATCTGTTATCAACTGTACCTACACAGACAGTTCATCAGACTATTTCCCATGGTATAAACAAGAAGCTGGGCAGGGGCCCAAGTTCATCATAGACATTCGCTCCAATGTGGATAAAAAACAAGACCAAAGATTCACTGTTTTGTTGGATAAGAAGGCCAAGCACATCTCCCTGCACATCACAGCCACCCAGCTTGAGGACTCAGCTGTCTACTTCTGTGCAGCGAGTACACAGTGCTCCCCAGGCACCTGTGTCCTGTACCCAAACCTGTGACTGGGGCAGAGCCTCAACTCCTTTGCTTCTTCAAATTAAGATCCCTTTGTGGAATGTGATGTCACAGATGACAGCTTAATCTGCAGTGCCACAAATATTTGTTTCTAAGAAGTATGCTATGTTAAGCAATGGGTCCTTATTGTTTGTCGCATTGTCCAGCAATACCATGAAGGCACTGGCTTATTTTTACAACCACACTTAAATAATAGTTAACCATAGTTACTGTGTCTATAATCAGCTATCCCAAGGAGATGTGTCGAATCATGTAGGGCATTTTCCCCTCAGAATCAGGCAGACAGACCATAGTAGTTTTCTGTGGCTCACTTTGAGTTCTACATGAAATACTGGGAAAAACGGAAGCTCAAACGTTGATGGCTGAATAATCCAACTCTGCTATCTAATTTGGCTGTCCAGGCCAAATCAAGAATAAAATGAGACTGTCAGAACTCAATGAAGTCAATTATGGGAGACTTCATTTTAAACTTTTTAGTAAAGAGACATTAATTTCCTTTTTGTAGCTGTTTGTTCTCAAGAGATGGCCCTGGACACGTGTTGGAAGTGAGTATGGATATTGTTATACCTGCAGGTAGAGAGCACACACCATTTCCACATCTTGAATTGTGCACAGTATCCATTCTATACAGAACTTTAAAACAAGTATCAACTTCCCATTTCCAACACAGATGCAACAGCCAAACATAGAGGTTGGTCAGTTCACCAATTTTCCTTTCAATACAACTATGCTAATTTTCAGACTTTATTGCAATTAAATGGAGAATCAGTCAATTCAAAAGCAACTTCAGGGTGGGTGGGACTCTTGGAGAGTGCAAAGAAAAGTTTGACTTGATACTCCCCAGTTTGCTACACCAGGAAATCTCTGCTTCCTGTTCCAGCTCTGCAGCAGCAGAGCTCATAGCCCTCTAGTTCTTTCCTGTGCTTGGCAGGCTGACTTGGCAGTGCAAAGGTCTGGAACTAAAGAAGAACAAGATATTTTCTATCTTGGAGAAGAACTAAAATATGTTGGTCTCCAGCCTTCTCCTGGTGATCCTGTCTTCACTGTGGCTGGGTAGGAATGGAGCCAGTGGGAATGGGACTCCTCCAAGACCTAAGGTCTGGAGGTTCAGGAAGCATTTTATGGGGACTTTGGGAAAGAAGGGTAATGGGTTATGAACATCAAAATTCATCATGTTATGCCACCCATCCCTAAACTTTCTGATTCTTTTAATCTTCAGGATCTAGTATTGCCCAGAAGGTAACTCAAGCCCAACCAACAATATTGGTGCAAGAGAAAGAACCTGTGACCCTGGACTGTACATATGAGGTCAGTGCTGTAAGTTACAGTCTCTACTGGTATAAGCAGCCCAGCACTGGGGAGATGATCTTCCTTATTCGTCAGGACTCCTACAGCCAGCACAATACAACACAAGGCCGCTACTCACTGAACTTCCAGAAGGAAAGGAAATCCATCAGCCTTATCATCTCCACTTCACAGCTGGGAGACTCAGCTGTGTACTTCTGTGCACTGAATGATGACACTGTGAGAGGACTCTTGTAGGGAGTTACACAAAAACCCTCAAAGTCTCTTTGAGATATCAGCTGCTAGGGGGCCTGAGGTAGAGACTCACTATGTCTGACAGGATGTGGAAGGGCTGTGGCAGCACAGCTGTTGGGGTGGAGGGAGAACACCTTGTCTCTGAAGACATTTCTCCAGGTTCATAGAGTGTGTCCAGAGTTACCACTCACCCGAACATTCCAATCCCTGAACCTTGGACCTGAAGTTAGACATGCAGAACTTAAGAGAAATTATGGAAGAGAATGTAAAGAATTTCCCATTTGGTCATTAGATTGGACAATAAGAATTGGTTAAGAAAGTTCATAAATACATGATGGAAAAGTCAGTAAAATTTGGATGAGTAATTGGATTATCAGTTCAAATTGATTGACAAATGCTTAATGAATATGTATTATATTAATTCTATTCTATTCTATTCTATTCTATTCTATTCTATTCTATTCTATTCTATTCTATTCTATGCATTGTTTAAATAAGAGAGGCCTTGGAAGCACTCTTTGTTTTCTGTTTTAAAAAAGCTTTGTGGAGGTGGGAGGGTGAGAATGTGGGCAAGACAGAGGGTGGAGTATCACTACACTCCTAAATCTGTATTGTAAAATGCATGAAATTTATTATGTAAATGAAACAATAAAAATTTAAGAACATAAGAAAGAAAACTCAGAAAAGTCATACGCATGGAATCCTATTGTTTCATATTGTTAATTGAATTAATTTGTTTAGGCTTGTCTTCTGTAGGTGAAAGTACTTGCATTTGCTTTTCAAAAGTACCTAGCATGTAACAGACTTCATAGCAAGAAATTATTTCATCTTTTCCACATTGTTAGCAGGCCAAAGCTCGATTTCCATATTGCTGTTTTTTTTCACCCCTCTTCAGCTTTGTCCATGATGTAACTGGTAGTCAGTAGCTCTTAAAAGGGCAAATAGCACATCTCCCACGTAGAGATGCAAACTCTGTGCAGAAACTAATCACCATTTTGATGTATTAAACGGACTCTCCTTTTCTCTACATGCTTCTACTTTTGAAGTTTAGTTCTATTGATATATTTGCTAAATCCCATTCCAGATATAGTTTTCAGAGAAAATTGCATTGCTTGTTAGGATAACTCACTCCTCAATGGTACTTTTTCCACATTTAAAAAAAAATTATAATTCTTGCACTTTTCTTCAGTATAAATGTTAAAAATTCTGTCCAATTTTCTCATATTAAGAACTTCCTATTAAAACAAAACATTGAAAGCAACAAATCATAATTCTTTTTAAAATGTTATACAAAATATCTCCTTATGTTCTCAATACTTTTCAGGAAAAACCTGCTTTTCTTAATTCATTAGGGGAACTTTTATGTTCTTCATGTGGAGACACGCAGGCCTGTTACACTCAGTAAAGAGTCCACGAGCCAAACATGTGTTTTTAAAGATTTATTTTTTTATTAGAAAGTCATATATAAAAAGAAGAGGAGAGACAGAGAGGAAAATCTTCTGTCTGCTTATTCATTCCAAAGTGCCCACAACAGTTGGTGCTGTGCCGATCCGAAGCCAGGAGCCAGAAACTTCTTCCAGGTCTCCCATGTGGGTGCAGGGTCCCAAAGCTTTGTGCTAGCCTCGACTGCTTTCCCAGTTCACAAGCAGGAAGCTGAATGGGAAGCAGGGCTGTTGGGATTAAAACCGGTGCCCATAAGGGATCCTGGTGTGTGCAAAGCAAGGACTTTAGCCACTAGGCTACAGCACTGAGCCCGCACCAAGCCTTTTTATTGTCCCTGATTTCCTCCTTCCATCTCTAACCAGTCTCCATTTTCTTGTGCCCTAAAATTTGGATAGTAATGATTAGTTGATAACATGACTCTATTTTGTTTCTTCCTCTTTTATTTGCATCTGGAACACAGATGTGTAGAATAGAATTTTTAAGGTAAACATCTTTTAAAATTTGTGTAAATTATTTTTAGTTGTCAAAGTGTGCACGTAGCATAACTACCAACTTAAGTATACAGTTCCTTGTTATTGGGTCTATTTTCACTCTTACACAACTGTCACTGCCATTCATTTCTCTGTGCTGAATTATTTGCTTACAACTAGTGTCAGTCACTCCAACCTACCTTACTTTCTCTCCATGCATGTGAACAGACATTTACCATGGATATTCCAGAATTTCTTTCTAGTATAACTCTATACCAGATTCTGAGAAGGGGCTTTCAGATGGCTGAAGAGTTAGATGAGCCTAAACAGTAACTGGGCCTGAATTGTTGCTTATTGTGGATCTGAGTGCCACATCGTGACACTGAGGTCATGGAGATCTTTCATCTGAGTATCTGGAGAGTGGTCTCCAGGAAACCCAGTGAGCTGAGTTTCCATCTATGTGACAAGTTTCCTGGAGGGCAGTTCTGCTTAGAGTTGAGCAGAAGTATTTGCCTGCTTTGTGAAACTTGAACTTTACCTCAGTGTCACTGAAATAGGGAAGGATAAGATATTGTTTCAAAGCATCCCAGAGGTGTTCTGTGGATGGCCTGTTCTCTGTCTGGGCCTCACAGCTTTCTCCTTTCAACAATGATGTAACTCAGAAACATTTGACTTCAATAGTGTTGCTTTTTCTCCTGAAAAGTTCTTATTAGCAAAATATCAGTCTTTAGCATCTTATTTAAATTTTAACTGTTACCCAGAAGTTGTACATAACTATTAGGGTACTATGGGTTTTTCTTAAGATTTATTTTTGTTGATGTTTACATAGTTAATTAGGGTGAGAAGAGTGGAGGGTTAGGGGAAAGTAAGTGAGACCATTGTTTCTGCATTTTCCTTTTTTTTTCTTCCTGTGTCTGAGGGAAGGGAAGAGACAAGGGGAAAAGGCACATTGAGCCTCCCAAACGCCTCAGTACCCCCGATGGGGAACAGCCACCCAATCTTCTCCCAGTGTCCCTGGTATGGAGCATGCTCCAATGGTTCTGCTTTGGTGGTTTCAATACTTCTGAAATACTATCAGTTTTCCCATTCCAAGGATGAGGAAATCCTTCCAAGATCCAATGGCTGACACTGTCCACCTTAGATTCTCCATTTGCCTGGATATTCGCTCTTAATATTTGGCTGGGATACTTGACCAATCTGCTCTGCCCTCCTTTCCCTGCTATGGTGCTAGAAGTTCTCTGTAGGCCCCAATGGACTACCGTATCTTCCATATGCATCTGGGTATGCTGCCCATCACTCCGCCCAAGTCACTGAGGAGGACCAATTCTGATACATGCACTCCACGGTCAGACCACAGATCCTATGATTCTCCCCATGGTTGAAGTTCTGAGTTCAGAGGTTCACTTGGGGAAATCCCTGAAGAATCCTTGTCTGAAGTGATCCAAGACCTGACTCTCCCCCTTAACCTAGTACACATGCAGGTCAACGGGAGTTGAAACCCTGCCCAGCCTGGGCTGCCCCCTTTCTAAGCTCTTATGCTCACCAGTGGCAGCAGTAGTCCAGCAAGAGAGACCCCTGCTCCTCCCTGCTCCTCCCTGCTTCTCCCTCTATTGGGTTGGTTTGCAACAGCACCCACTAACCCACCCCAGGTATCACGTGTGCTGGTGTGTGCTGAGGAAGCCCAGTCTGGCATGGCCCACCTCACCTCAGCACTTGCTGGAGGATGCTATAGCCTGGTATGGCCTGGCTTACCCCCAGTTCCAGCTCATGCTGGTGGGTGCTTCAGTCCAGCCCAGCCCAGCCCGTCCAGCCACCAGGCCTGGCACTAATGTGAACTGGCTGATGTTGCAACCTGATCCAGCCTGTCCTGCATCTCATCCTGGTTCTTGGATCTGCAAGTGGGTGCTATGGACTGGCCTAGCCTGGCCTGTACCCAGGCAGGTACTTTGAGTTCAGCTTTTTTATATTCTATGTACAAATGAAGTCATGTGGTACTTGCATTTCTGCACTCAGATTATTTCATTTAATGACCTCCAGTTCGATCATGTTGCAAGTGACAAGTTTTCACCATTTTTAAGGACCAGTATCTCATTGTGTATACATGCCACCTCTTTTAATCCATCCATTGGTGATGGAAACTTAGGTTGTTTTCTTTCCTTGGCTGCTGTCAATTGTGATGTAATCAGCATGAAATGAAGATATCTCTAGGACAGAGTGATTTAATTTGTTTCAAATACGTACCCAGCCCTGCAATTGAGACACCATAAGGTGGCTTTACTCCTAATATTTTGAGAACCTACACACTATATTCCACAATTGTTGGCCCAAACTACATTCTCTCCAACATGGATTGTCAAGGGTCTACTTTTTCTGTACATCTTTATCAACATTCATTACCTTTTGTCTTTTTGATAACAACCATTCTAACGGAAGTAAACTGCATCATCTTGTGTGGTTTTGATTTGTATTTCCATGATAATTAAAGATGCTTGGCATTTTCTCCATATACCGGCGGGCTGTCTTCTGTCCTCATTTGAGCAAAGTCTATTTGGAACTACTGACTATTTTCAGAAGTGTATTTGTTTATTTCTATTTAAGCCAAAGGCAGAGTGACAAAGGTAGAGAAGGCAGGCACATAGACAGACACATACTTCTATTGGCTAGCTGATACCTGCAACAGTCACACCAAAGCCAGGAATCAGGTCATCCCGTCTGGATCTCCTACATGGGTGGCAGGAACAAGAACTGGACTCATCACCTGCCACTTTTCCTGTGCATTAACAGGATGCTAAGTAGAAGCAGAGGCAGAATTTAATCCCAGCTACTCTGGGCATTCAAAGCAGTGGCTTGGAAGCATTGGTGGTATAGTGGTTACCAAAGCAGTGGCTTAACTCACTGTGTCACAACACCCATTTTTACTTCCCATTAAAAAACATACTATTTAAAATCATTAAGTCAAATCTAAAATTACTTGAAATTAAATTATTGAGTCACTGTGTTCCTTACATATTCTGATTATTAACCCCTTGTCAGATGGGATGATAGTATTTTGGGATGAAAAATATAGTGACTTTCGGACCTTGGGGTTTG